AGGGTCTCCAAGGCTGTCCATCTTTATGGAAGCAGACTGCTTCATCTTTCTCCCATAGAGCGGCTGTTGGGTTCAAACTGCTCACCTTTTGGTTAGCAGCTGAATGCTTAACTACTGTGCCACCAGGGCTCCTTGAGTCTGTTTATACTATGTTCAAATTGAGGGTGGTTACAATCTGTCTATAAACATGGCTGGCCAAGAAATTTCTCTCATCTTCATCATCCTCAGACAGAGCCCCTGTCTGTCTGCTTTGTGCCCAAACCAGAGCTTCCTGTCCTGTAGGCCTTGAACTCCTGCCCTCCTAATATTCCAGTCCCTGGAGAGGACATTATGCTCCGTAGAGCAGAGTGTCAACATAAAAGAGCGAGATCCTGAGTGAGATGGAGGAACACGGTGGCTGCCACAGTGGGCTCAGGGCAAGGCCCACGAGGATAGCAGCAAACCCAACATGCTTCATTCTGTTACAAAAGGCCGCTATGAGTCAGAGCCAACTTGAAGGCCCCTAACCACAACCACATTCTAATGGAATATTTATGGCAAGACTGTGGTATTTGGGGGTACCGACTTGGAGACCCCATGCCAGGAGTGCATATAGAGCCACCACCCAACTGTCAAGGTCTTCGTGGTGTTGTGATATCAAGCAGTTTTCAGCAGAGCTTGCAAACTAAGACGGGATAGGAAGAAAGGCTGATACTACGTGAAGATGGCGTGTCACGGTAGCTCTCCGAATCTCTGATTTGCATGTCTGTGTGAGGCCCAGAATTCCCATGTGCGAAGCCCACGGACCACGACACATGTTGTGTTAGCTGCTGTCGAGTCAGGCCCCGATTCATGGATCTAGTGGGTAGACCAGAGATGCCACCACCCACTGTGCAGTGCAGAGGACAGCCCCAAACATAGAGTTATTGTCATTAGCGCCATCTCCCTGACCGGTTGTAAGATTTTCATTGTTAGGTTTTCAAAGATCACCCATCCTAGTCTAGTCTGTCTTCGTCTGGAAGCACCGCTGAAACCTCTTTGGCCTCACAGCAACGCACGAGCCGCCTCTTGACGGATGGGCAATGGCTGTGCGTGAGGTGCCCTGGCTGAGAATTGAACCCAGACCTCCTGCATGGAAGGCCCGAATCCCACCCCTGAGCCGTTGCTGCCCCCACGCTCTGACATGCTCCGTATCTAACACGCAGAAGTCATCATTTCTACACCGGCCATGTTACCCACTTACCTCCCATTCCACCATGCATTTTCTCACCAACCCCAACCCCTTTGTCCACGTCCCAGCCACTCACCGAGGCAGAGCAGCGATAGGAATTCTGTGAGCATAGTATCCCTTCTGAACCCGAACCCTGTCTTCAGCTTTGCAGATCAAAGGAGGAAGCAGGGCTGTGGGGACGGCGGTTCTGTGAGCGCCCACTTTGGAATGTGCAGGTAGTTCAGCTCTGACCCTGTGGGTCTCTGCACTACCTGGGGCACGGTTTCCTCCTTACAACGGACTCAGGAAGCATGAAGCCATCGATGACAACATCTTCCCCTTAACACATGACCTCAGTGTGTGCGGCACCACCCACCCTGACTTCTGTCCTGCCCAAGACATTGTTTTAAATACTTTTCATTTGGAAATAGTTGGCGTGGTTGGTTGCCCATGAGTCCACTCCGGCTCCTGTCAGTGCCATGTGTGAAAAGCAGAACTGCTCTGTAGGATTGTCAAGACCTTTTGGGAGCAAGTTGTGAGGTCTGTCTCCTGAGGCACTTCCAGTTGAGTTTGAACCGCCAACCTTTTGGCTAGCAGCTGAGTGCTCAATGACTGGCACCACTAGGGACTCACAAGAAGTTTTGAAAACAGTGCCGCGAGGTCCTGTGTACCATATCTCAGTTTCCCCCAATGCACCTGACTGTAATTCACTATCAAAACCAGGAAATTGAG